GGGGTTTAGGGTTAAGGGATTTAGAGCTCAACTTTACAATGCTTATATCTCCCTTAGACAGGTGTAAGGCCTTTTCTTGAAGGAGGATGCAGGGGAATCCCGGTTTACCAGCTTGGCTTGAAATTGGATTGTACACCCTAAACCAGAAACCTTTTTTGTAGATCCTTGAGACCCTCAGCCTTCTCGAAACCCTACAAACCTGTCCCTTCTGTAGTCTACGCCACAGAGAAAGATCCAGGACCCCCCCGTACGTTAGGTTCAATACAGCCTAGCCCTCAATTCTAGGGACGCCGCCCCCTTGAATCCTGTGCGACACTCTGAACCCTAAACCCTACTCAGAATCCTACAAAATAATATAAGGGCCTTACTAATTAAAATAGGGTTTCGGGGTATACTATACTACAATTCTGAGAAGGAGCCCCAAAACCCTATTCTAATCATTAAGGCCCCTACATGACTGGGAATCCTACAAACTACACAACATTCCGTCCAGGCTCGGAGCCCTAGTATGCGCCCCGAGCGCTGCGTCCTAAAACCTATCATATACCTTACACACTAGGGTTTAGGGTTTCTGGTATCATATACCTTGCGCCCTAGGGTTTAGGGTTTAGGGTACCAAGAACCTTACATCCTAGGGTTTAGGGTTTAGGGTATCATATACCTTACACCCCGAACGGTCTCTAAACTGCCAGAAGTAAATCTCAAGCTGTACTCTAATAATGAAGCGCCCGGGAGTGATGTGAGAGTTAGTGATAAGCTAGGGCTTCAGGTATGGAGTGCCGACGTGGCCGAAAGAAGTATGGCTATGTAGCCCGACCAGGTCAAGTGTGCAGGTTACTTTCACGACTAATGAAAGAAACCCCAGATATGCCTGGTTTGCACGCAGCTTCTATTCCGCCCGAAAACCCAGTCATAAACCATAAACAATGAACCGCAGAACCACGGTACAGAATTCATGTCCGACACTTCGAGACACCGTCAAGCTCGAATGAGCCGGAAGCACAAAGTCAACCGATAATTATCTCTGATCCCTATCAGCAAACAAAAGCCCAAAAAAGCCGAAACCACGATTAGACCCACCTTGAACCTCCAAACCCTTTGGGCTGTATTCCCCATGCCTGGGTCCCGAAAGCCTAAAGCCCTGTAATCCCTGAACAGGGATGAGGCTGCGAACCGCGTTCGACAAAACCTTCGGGAAATGGAGAGCTGACAAAGCCCTTTGCGAGGTCCTCCGGCAAGAGCTTTCAGGCTTTAGAGGTATAGGGCTTAGAGCTTGTAGGCTTTAGGATCAGCTTCATGTATATATGAGAGTCGTAGAGTTGGCATGAGAGTTGCTAACAGTTCTTTAAGGTGTCCAGAAGGCTTTAATGGGTCGTCATCGGTGGTGATACGTTTTGAGTGGTTTCTCTCCGACATGTGTTTTCTGCATAAAAAGTGCTCAAACCCTAAACCCTAAACCTCAAATCTACCAAAGGGCAAGCTCTGCGAAGACGCTGCCCTAATTGAGCCCAGAGCCCTGATCCTTCCCACAGCCCCTACCGATCACCAACCCCCATCCCTTCATCCTGAACCCTCAAGCATTAAACTACTGTTGATGATATAAACCCTGCATTACCTTAAGGACCCTAAACTATGGGAGTTATGGTATCTTCCTTATTGTGGGTAATGTAGGGTTTATATCATCAACCGTATCATTCAACCTTAACTCCCGAACCCCTAAACTTGCTTTTAAACCTCCGCCCTACGACCTCTGGAATCCAGGCCCTGCCGCGACTCCGGCTGCTCTTTGTCCGCCCTGGCGCCTACAATTTCTCGAAGATGACTGGCCGAACTCCGAGCAGAAACTTCCCACTTTGTGGCCATCTGAAGGTTTTCGAAGCAGCTCAAGCAGATTTGCGGGAATCTGTCTCGGAATCCAGGAGCTTGCGGCTTTTCTTAGCCAGCCATGTGGCAATCGAGGCACAAATTTTGGCAGTGACATCGCCCTGCGAGAATGGCAACGGCACAGTGGAAGAGCTCCGAGGAGAATGCAGCTTCGTGCGGCGAAGCATCGCTGATAATTCTCAAGGTGGGCAAGTCTCAACAGATGCCCGCATGGACCTGCACACTGAGATTTCGATCTTCTCGGTGTCACAGCAAAGCAGGTGGGGACAAGCGGCAATTTCTTGATTGTGGTCAGCCCCGTATCTTCAAGCGTCAACAGCTCTTCACCCTTTCATCCCCCTAACCCCTAAACCCTAAACCCTAAACCCTAAACCCTAAACCCTAAACCCATAAACCCTAAACCCTAAACTCGAAGCCATAAACCCCATTGCCGAAACCACAATTGAATTGACCTTGAGGCCGAAGGCCCTAACCAAAGCGATACTGCGCCTTCCGGGAAAAGATATCCGTATCATTCGGGACCAGGGTTGTAGCTTGGGGCTTTCTTTGCACTATAGAGTTTAGGGTGCAGGGTTTGGGGTGTAGGGTTTAGGGTTTGGGGTTTAGGGTTTGGGGTTTAGAGCGTCTGCGACCCCGGGATTCAACTCAACGATTCCACGTTGGGTCGGGGGTCGAGTTTTAGTGTCCACGCCTTGAGACTTCATACAGAGGCCTGAATAACCCTAAACCCTAAACCCTAAACTCTAAACCCTAAACCTGAATAACTTCAAATTACACTGCATTGTTACCCTTATTCCAAGAAGTAAGGCCCCCCTAGAATCTCCCAAAAAACAAAACCCTACCAAAGCCTTCGAGATACTCTAGAAGCCTCAATAACTACCTATATTATGCCTTAGGGTTCCTTATCATAACTATAGTTTCATATACCCCAAACCCTATTCTAATTGTTGAGGCCCTTGCTTTGCCCTGACAGGAACCCTACTCTCATGATTACGTCCCCTGGCGATTGTTAGATTACAGAACCGCCCCTTTCTTTAAAGGCCCCGATACAAGGATCCAGTTTCTAACCATTCCGAGGTAGGGGGGGTGGATACATCAAGGGTCTAAGGTCTTCTAAAGGGATTTGCTTTCGGACGAGTCCGAAAGATCTTGTGGCTAATGTTGTTTTTCCCTTCGAAGCCGCAGATGAGGTATTGTGTATATGCAACAAGTATATGTCTTGGTGAGAGTGTATGTGGCTCCTTGTTGAACATCGGTGAGTGCAGGTTATGGGGTGTATGAAGCAGATGCAGGCACTAAAACCCTTACTTCAAATCGTTTATCCAGACTATCATCTTAACGCTCTTCATCATCGAAATCTCACATTTCAATTTGAAGCATCTCATCTTCTTGGAAGCCGGGAAGCTTAAACCTGAGGCCCGTAAACCACGAAACTTCTAGATTCCCTAGATCCTGCATCCGGCAAGAAATCTTGCAGAGACAACCTAGCCGGATCGACAGAAAACCCCAATGCACCTTGGACGACAAACAGAATATGTAACAGAGGGGCCTAAGTAGTTACCAATACTATTTTGGGAACTTCTTATTACAAGTATAGGTCTAAAGCGCCCGCAAACCCTATTCTAATTAGTAGGGCCCCTACATTACGTATTCACCAACAGCAACAGCAAGCAGAGCAATCAGTCAGACTACGAAGCAGACTGATCGGTTAGAGACTTTGCGGCCTGGATCGCCCCTAAAGCGACTAGGGCCCCTTATCCGGAGCCGCCTAGAACCCTTGAAGGTTTAGGGTTTAGGGTTTAGGGTTTAGGGTTTAGGGTTTAGGGTTTAGGGTTTAGGGTTTAGGGTTTACGTTTAGAACCTTTCGAGAAGCCTACAGACCCTTCGACCACGCGCTCCGGGGCTTCTGAGGGGGGAGTACCCAGAAAGATCAGCCGCTACCAGCGCAAAAATGGCTTAAATCATACTATAGACATTAAGGCATGTCATACCATAAACCCTAAACCCTAAACCCATACAGTTTCAGGTACATTGTGCACTCAAGGGACATTGGGCTCGTTGTATCTTTCGATGCTTGCAACGGCAGATCCCGGCTCGGAATGTTATCAGAAGTCTCCCTGGAGTTCTGGGTTTGGGGTTTAGGGTTCTACAGATGGCATGGACTCTTTCAGCAAGACTGATGAGCGGGGAGGCAGCCTCCGTCAGCATTTCACCAGACTGCCTCATCGAGGACTTGAGGTGAAAGACTTTGGAACCCTCTCATGCAGAGGAACGCCCTAATGTAGGCGCCTAAGTAATTACCAATACCGTGGTGGGGGTTCCGTATTCTAAGTATAGTATAATGGGCCCCGATTCCAATTATGAAGGCCCCCCTAATTGCCAGGATCTGAGGAAGTTGGCCCAGATAGAGCTGAAGAAGTCCCTGAAGGCAGCTGGGATGTTTGCAGCTTCGGGTTTAGGGTTAAGGGTTGAGGGGGTATGCGCGTTTATTTATTTTTGGCGTTTAGTGGTTTAGGGTGCTTGGGGTTTAGGGTTCCTGCGTGGATGCCGCCCAGGCAGTGATGAGTTCCACCACCGTCCTGGACCCCTCTTCCACGATTCAAGCGGCGGGATTGAAGGATGGCGATGAAGTTGGCGTCGTCACCGCACCGAAGTGCCTTGGCTAATAGGGAAGCCTAAGTAATTACCAGCTTTGTTGTTAGGGTTCCTTATTATATGTTTAGAATAATGGGCCCCAAAACATTCTAGTTATTAAGGCACCTACATTCGCTGCTTGGTGAAGAGTCCTTCATAAGCGGCGTTGTGCAGTCGCCAAAGTCGGGTATCTCTCGTTGCCAACAACACTGCACCGCCGTTTCTTCCTCATCAGCTTGTTCATCAGCGTCGTCGCTGCCATTGTCATCCCGCTTTGTCATCACCACCTTTCATAACCATCATCATACACATCATCATGGTCCTCCTCATCTTGTACACATGGGTCTTGGATCTGAGTTGCTCTGTTGCAGATCTGCCGTCTAGTGACTCGGACCTCGGTTTTAGGAGTTGGGGGCCTATAGGGTTGTTGGATTTGGGCTTCTTCAGGGTTGAGGTTCAGGATTTTGTGCTTGGGTTTCGGCTTTAGGATTTAGGGTTTGGGTTCAGGGCTTAGGGCCGCCGTTCCTTGGCAACATAGAAGCTGCTTCTTCGTGTCAGGGTTGGCCTGCAGGTCCGTTCAAGGAGTGACCAGTGCGAAAGCTCCGCACCCTGAGAGCCTAGCCATTCTTAGCCCAAAACGGAAGCCCAGCATGGCTTTTGTTGGGACAGGTCGTACGAGCGATTACCATGAGGCCCTGAGTAGTAAACACTAAATAGGAACATGAGTTGAAATGTGTCATCCTTGGAAACTTGAAAGAAACAGGGATGATTTTCAGAATTTTCAGTGCAATACAGATAGTAATATGGATTTCTGCAACCCGAAACCCTAAATGGAGGCGGAGGGTAGACAAATGAGCTCAAACAAAACCCCTCCAAACCCTAACCCAACCACGTTTCCGTTTCGTTTTCAGATCTGCGGCCTGCTTATCCCCTAACCTCTCAACCCCTAGACCCCTACACCTCAAACCCTAAGGACGAAGCTTCGTGCACACAAGTTCGGCTTTGGCTTTGCCGCCATTATGCCAGACGGCACGGTGGAGGTGTGGGGTCACGACCTTTTTCTTGGCAACTCGCGTTTCAATGAGGCGATGGTTTAGGGTTCAGGGTTTAGGGCTTAGGGTTTAGGGCTCGGGGCTGAGGCTTTGGGGATTTAAGGCAGTACAGGGTAGGTATTCCGATCGCGTTCAGGGCACAAGTAGTCCCTCTGTGCGGTCGCTACCGTGCTAGCTTAGGGCACGGGCTCTGTTTTTCTTTATAAACCCTGAAAACCTCGAGGACCCGGAACCCGAAACCCTAAAATCTAAGCCATAAACCCTAAACCTTCAAACCCTTAACCCAAAACCTTCAAACCTCCTAAACCCAAAGCCTTCAAACCCTTAACCCTAAACCTTCAAACCCTTAAAACCCTAAACCTTCAAACCCTAAATCCTAAATCTTCAAACACTAAACCCTAAACCTTCAAACCATTACAGCCGTAAGAATTCAAACCAAAAGCCCTAAGCCTTCAAACCCTTACAGCCCTCCCACCCCTAAGCCCGTGTTGGCAGGCTGAGCAGAAGGACGTGCTGGATGTTTTTCTCACGGAAACGGCAGTGGCCGCGCTTCGAGCTGATGGCACTGTGGCTTGGTAGCAGAAAGTCTAATAC